GGTCTCCACTCTAACAAGAAGTCTCCTAGACGTCAAATCGAGGGTTTATGTCACCTAATAGTGTTTAATATACCTCAAGTTGCAAGAAATAACAATTTTTCATTATTTGTGTTTTTAATGAGGGCTTAGGCTCCTATATTAGGGTTTAGTGCTTTTTAAAATTGATACATTTAGTCAAATCAATTGTTTTTAAAATCATTCAATATTTAATTTTGTGAGGGTTTAGGTTTCCATATTATGGTTTAGTATCCCTTGAAATAGAAAAATTTAGTCAAATTGATCGTTTTGTATCATCAATAGTTATGTTTTAAGCTCTCATATTAGAATTTAGTACCCATAAAATTGATCATTTTAGTCAAATGGGTTTTTTATTGTTGGTGCATAAAAGTCTCATTCTTAGAAGATTTTGAGAAGAAACTACACATGTGTAACAGTGTTAGGTAATTTTTTAATTAAAAACAGATTTTAAAACTCTTTTTTTTTGTATCTTACTTAACAATTTTTTAGCGATGAACGTTGTCAGTTAAACATCATATCCTTGGTTATAACTTATAGTTTTCGTCTTGGCTATATGTGAATCTTTGTGCTATATATTTTGATTAAAAACAAATTTCTGTGGTTGGATTTTTTGGAAAGCCTATGAGATGAATGCGTTGGTTTTAATCTATATTGCATTTCTTTGAGTTTGATATGTTTTTTCTAACTCTATTTACTCTCGGAAATAAGATTACATGATGGCTCTTAGAAAGTATTGCAAGGCTTTGCTCTTTATGGCTATTTTTTTGGAGAAAGAGGGCATTGGTGAATGTGGTTCATAAGTTTTCTGATAATAAGGCCCGATTGACATTCATCATTTACTGAGTCTGAGGGAATATTGATATTGTGCACACCATTGTCATGCAGTCAATTCATCATTTACTTATGATCTTGCAGAGACAAGAACTGCATTGCATAAGACAAAGTCGTATCTCTTTACTAATAGTGTCGTAAGTTCATTCTCTTTTACTTTTTTTAGTTCCATATGTCATACAATTTTGCGAAAATCATCTTCTAAAAAATAATATGTTTTCAGAATATAATATATTTGGATCATCTTGTGTGTGATGTGATGTGATGTGTTATTCCATCTACCATGTTTGGACCGAGTTCAATATTATAGCCATTGAGTACATAAAGGAACCAAAATAAACGTGACTACAACACGTACGGGAAATGGATTTACATAATCCAACTCTTGGATCAATCATGTTATGTTTCAAACACAAAGACATACTATTGCTACTATCAAACTCATTCTCCAAGCAATTGTTTATTCCATTTGGCGTGAAAGAAAAGCTTGGATCTTTGCCGCAATTTCACTGCCTTCAGCAACCATTATTGGACCGTCTACTCTCGATTCTACCACGCAACGCGAGCTCACCTTCTTCTTTGAATCATACTTGGTTGTATTAGGTTACCTTTTATTATTAATATGCTTTTTGGATATTTTTTAGTTTTGTTTAAGTTTTTCAAAAGTTTTTTTTTAATACTACTATCCTGCGCAGGGCATCTTAGAATGTTATGGTTTGAAATATTCTAAGTTTCTTTGACATGTTCTATGTTTGATTTTATAATTTGGGTTTCTATCATCTATTAAGTTTTGAATATGAATTGTTTTATTCACATTTAGTTTCTATAAGGTATTTTTCCTTGAT